TGTGAAGTGGCCCATTCCAGTCCACTTCAGTTCGCTGACCCCCAGAATGTCTATCTTTAGTCTTGACATCTTTAGTCTTGACATCCAATTTGCCCTGGCTCATAGATCTTACATTCCAGGTTCCTATGGTGTGTTGATCTTTAGAGCATCGGATTCGTCGTTCGCCTCCAGTACCGTCGGCCGCTAGCCTTCCTTTCGGCTTTGAGCTAGCTGCGTCATCACATCTGGGGCTAGTTGAACTTATCCTCTGCTCCTCCCCAGTAGCATTTTGGCCATCTTCCGACCTGGGAGTCCCATCTTCCAATGGCATACCGACATATCTCTGGTTGTACTGGTCCATTTAGTTTTCTTGGCAAGGATACTGGAGTGGTTTGCCATTGCCTTCCCCAGGGATCACGCTTGGTCTGACCTCTCTGCCACAACCGTCCCGTCTTGGGTGTCCCTTCACGGTTTCGCTCATGACATCATTGAGGTGCTCAAGCTCCAGCGCCCCGACAAGGCGGTGATCCTTTGCTGGAGCACGTATAAAATAGATTATTAAAAACAGAGATGAGCATCTTGATGATATTTTGTAGTGTTCTTGCAGGGTTCTTGGATACCTTGAACTTAGGTACAAAGGAGCCAAGGTGTTTTGCATGAGTATTCTGTCTTTCACTGTGAAATAAACACTCAAATATCCTACAGTCTTCCAGGTTTCTCACACTTCTTTTTTTAATAGTCTTTATTGAAATTTTCTATTAAAATATAACATAAAACATCATAGAGAAGCAAAAGAGAAAGAAGAAAAAGAAAAGATAGAAAGGAAAAACAGAAAGCAAGAAAAAGAAAAAAGAATTGAAAGTAACTTTTTTCTTCGTGACTTCCAGAGTGTCTTCTGTGAGGTGTTGACCGTTTCCTTCTTCTTCTATCTTCGTTCTCTTTCTTCATTACCTGTTCCTTCTCCCTTTCTTTCATCTGGGGTTAGTTCCTTTAATTTATATAAATGTCTTGTAGTTTTTGTCTTTTAATCTGTGACTTTTGTCCAATCCTTTTCTTTTACTGGTTTATCTTTGTTTTTTGACAGTAGATAGGGAAGTCTATCCATGTTTCTAATATCAAGAACTTTTTCTAGCCATTCTTCTATGTTCGGTATCTCCTGTTTTTTTTCCATAGTTTTGCGTAGCAAATTCTGGCCACAGTTGTTATTTGTTAGGCTTCCCACACTTCTTTTGATACTTATGATAAGAGTTCATGAGACCCAGAGACGTTTTCAAATTAGGAAGCACCAGCAGCTGGAGAGGCTGATGGTCAGCAGAGAGATAAGATCAGGTCAACAACCTATCTAGCCAAACATTCTATTCACAGATGACTGTGGGAAACCCATAGGCAGGTAGAGGCGGCCCTAGGTAATTTTCAACGGTAAACAAACAGTATTTTGCCCCCCCCCCAACAACTAATCACTGATATATATTTTCTGTTTGTCGTGGGAGTTCTGTGTGCCATATTTGGTTCAATTCCATCATTGGTGGAGTTCTGAATGCTCTTTGATTGTAGGTGAACTATACATCCCAGTAACTTCAACTCACTAGGCTTGTTTGATCAAGAAAAAAATTGGTTCTAAACTCGCTTCGTTTCCAGGGGGCGCCAGCGTTTCGAATTTCTGAGGACTTCCAAAATTTAAGATTTCAAAATTTCAAAATTTACGAAATTTCTTTAATTACGAATCGATTCGTTAATGGCGGACGCGATTGCGCAATGTGCTAAAAACACCTCCAAACGGGACAGGGGGAACATCTGAAGCATCCCTCTCCCTCTGTTGCTGACTGTTGGTGATAAAACTTACAACTAACAGAAACCAAATTCAAATAAATTCAGGATGAAATTAAAATACATTAAGTTAGTAAAAATACAAATTAAAATCATTTAAAATTAATTAAATAATTAAATAATAAAATAATAAAATAAAAAATAAAATAAAATAATAAAATAAGTAATAAGATAATAAAATATCTCCAGGAGGAGGAGGAGGAGGAGGAGGATGGGGAGGAAAGGCAACGCTGGCACCTTTTCTCTCCTTCTTTCCCGTCTTAATAATTACGAAATAATTATGAAATAATTACGAAAATTTGGAAAAATTGTTTCGATTCTTAATTACTCTTCACACTATTCCTGCATGGCTCGATATTGGATCGTAAGCTAATTTAAATACGAATTAATAATGACTTTAGAAACTAACGAACACGATCAAACAAGCCTACAACTCACATATGTCAAGGTCTATTTCTCCCCAAGAGCGCCTCAAGAGCGCCCCTGATCAAAATCAACTATACTGCAAATGCTTACTTTGCGTAATGGGTTGAGCCGCCCCTGTAGGCAGGACATGAGTGCACCTACACCTTTTATCCCACAACTGAAATATTGAGGCATACTGTCTCTGATACTGAAACTCATATGTATACATCATGACTATTAGCCATATATGATTCTGTCTTCCAAGAGTTTACATTATCCTCTTTACAGCCATCTCACTATCACTATACATTGTGGGAATGAATCCCACAGTTACCCTGTGATGTGGGAAAACGTTAAGATCTGCCACAAAATGATTTTTTCAAAAATATGTGGCATCATTAGGCTTAACTTAAAAACATTGTCAAAGAAATTCTAAACTACTCTGAGACTGAGGAAGAAAAAAAAATAAATGTCTCATCTTCTGGAGAAGAAAATACTCAAGAAGTTGGAGGGTAACCAAGAAAACCAACACCCTGATTAAGAACTCCTCCATAAACTTTGACATACGACAACAGCTATGTAAATNCCTTTCCTTCCCCGCTCCAAAACATTGGCCAGACCAGGCTTGGGGAGTCCTCCTCGCCCGCTTTCCGGGCCTGGAGCCAAATGACGGCGGGGAGAAAGGCGAGGGGATGGCACGGGCCGCGACTACTGCGCACGCGCGAAACGCATGGCCTTTGTGCGCATGCTCAGTGGATCACGAGGCAAGGTCCCGGGTATTTTAATCCTTTGCGGAAGAAAGGATAAAGGGGGGGGGGGGGCAGAGAGAGAGAGAGAGGAAAAGAACAGCCTGGAAGGACAAAGCGTGGCTTCCCCCCTCTCCATCTTGTGAGGCTGGATTGGTTGCATTGCAGCGAAAGAGGTATTTATTTCTTTTATTGGAATCAATGAGAGCCAGTTGGGAAATGGGGATGTGCCTTTTAGGGCGAGCCCACGAATTTCATGGAGTTTTCTTAGGCTGAGAATACTCAGAAGTGGCTGTGCCAGTTCTTTCCTTCAGAAATAACAGCGCCTGATATTTTGTGTGGTCTCCCATCCAAGTATCAACCAGGGCTGGCCCTGCTTAGCTTCCAAGATCAGACTGGAAGGGCATTTGGGCTGGCAGGAGTCCATATTTGCATATTTGTAGATACAGGCAGTCCCCAAGTTATGGACAAGATAGGATCTGGGTTGCTGTGAGTTTTCCGGGCTGTATTTATTGATATCCCACTTAATCTCCCCATATGGAAACTCAAAGCATTATATTAATAGTAATTGTATTTAATATATTTGTATTAAGGGAAATTATTTGTATTAAGGGAAATAGTAATATATACAGTAGAGCAGTGGTTCTCAACCTGGGGGTCAGGACCCCTGGAGGGGTCACGAAGGGGTGTCAGGGGGGTCAGCAAAGACCATCAGAAAACACAGTATTTTCTGTTGGTCATGGGGGTCTCTGTGTGGGAAGTTTGGCCCAATTCTATCATTGTTAGGGTTCAGAACGCTCCTTGATTATAGGTGAACTATAAATCCCAGCAAGTACAACTCCTAAATCTCAAGGTCTATTTTTCCAAAACCCCATGAGTGTTTACATCTGGGCATATGGAATATCCGTGCCAAGTTTGGTCCAGATCCATCATTGTTGGAGTCTAGAGTGCTCTCTGGATATAGGCGAACTTCAACTCCCAAACTCAAGATCAATGCCCACCAAATTCTTCCAGAATTTTCTGTTGGTCATGGGAGTTCTGTGTGCCAATTTTGGTTCAATTCCATTGTTGGTGGGGTTCAGAATGCTCTTTGTTTACAGGCTAACTATAAATCCCAGCAACTACAACTCCCAAATAGCAAAATCAATCCCCCCACCAACCCCACCAGTATTCAAATTTGGGCATACTGGGTATTTGTGCCAAATTTGCTCCAGTGAATGAAAATACGTCCTGCAGATCATTATTTACATGGCGATTCATAATGTTAGCATTATGGTTGGGGATCACCACAACATGAGGAACTGTATTAAGGGGTCACGGCATTAGGAAGGTTGAGAACCACTGCAGTAGAGTTTCACTTATCCAACATAAACAGGCCGGCGGAATGTTAGATAAGCGAAAATGTTGGATAATAAGGAGGGATTAAGAAAAATTATTTATTATTATTATTTATTTCAGAGTTTTATATACTGACCTTCTCACCTCTTTTGAGGGACTCAGACCGGTTTCCAACCATAAAAACACATACATTTGGTAAAAACATCATAGTTCATATTACAATAACACATTAAAACAACAAATATATCCAAAACTACAGTGGTCAGTCGTCATACTAAAAAACAAAAAGCCCATTAAAGAGATATTGACAAGCTGGAATGTGTCCAGAGGAGAGCAACTAAAATGATCAAGGGTCTGGAGAACAAGCTCTATGAGGAGCGGCTTAAGGAGCTGGGCATGTTTAGCCTGAAGAAGAGAAGGCTGAGAAGAGATATGATAGCCATGTATAAATATGTGAGAGGAAGCCACAGCGAGGAGGGAGCAAGCTTGTTTTCCTTCCCACCAGAGTGTTACCTATTGATCTACTCACATTTGCACGTTTTCGAACTGCTGAGTTGGCAGAAGCTGGGGCTAAGAGCGGGAGCTCTTAGATTTTTTTTTGTCGTGTCAGGAGCGACCTGAGAAACTGCAAGTTGCTCCTGTTGTGAGAGAATTGGCCCTCTGCAAGGACGTTGCCCAGGGGACGTCCGCATGATTTGATGTTTTTATCATCCTTATGGGAGGCTTCTCTCATGTCCCCGCATGAGGAGCTGGAGCTGATAGAGGGAGCTCATCCGCATCTCCCCGGATTCAAACCTGTGACCTGTCGGTCTTCAGTCCTGCCAGCACAGAGTTTTAACCCACTGCGCCACCGGGGGCTATATATTATATTATTACCATAGCACAATATTAGTATTACAGTAGAGTCTTGCTTATCTAACATCCACTTATCCAACGCTCTGTATTATCCAATACGGTCCAGGGTGGGAGAAAGAAAGAACACTTGTCTGTTTTGGTGTTAAATTCGTAAATACAGTAATTACTACATAACGTTACCGTGTATTTAACTGCCTTTTCTGTGGATTTGTTGTAAAACATAATGTTTTGGTGCTTAATTTTAAAAATGGGAACGTAATCATAACATAATTTGACATTTAATGGGCTTTTTCTTAATCCCTCCTTATTATCCAACATTTTCGATTATCTAATGTTCCACTGGCCTGTTTATGTTGGATAAGTGAAACTCTACTGTATGTATTACTATATTGTACTATACTGTATATTATTAGTAGTATTACATGTAATATATAATATGCAATAATATACTATTGTTATATATGTATGCCATAATATGTATAATACATTACCAGTATATAATACTAATAGTATCATATAATATATTATACTATAAGTTGTAGTATATATAATATATTATATTATGGAGCCCCTGGTGGCACAGCGGGTTAAACTGCTGAGCTGAACTTGCTGACCGAAAGGTTGGTAGTTCGAATCCAGGGAACAGGGTCAGCTCCCACTATTAGCCCCAGCTTCTGCCGACCTAGCAGTTCGAAAACATTCAAATGTGAGTAGATCAATAGGTACCGCTCTAGTGGGAAGGTAATGGTGCTCCATGCAGTCATGCAGGCCACATGACCTTGGTAACATCTATGGACAACTCCGGCTCTTCAGCTTAGAAATGGAGATGAGCACCAACCCCCAGAGTCGGACATGACTAGACTTAATATCAGCGAAAACCTTTACCTACTAATATATTATATTACAACAATATGCATGATCATATTCCAGAAGCATTCTCTCCTGACGTTTCACCCACATCTTCGGCAGACATTCTCAGAGTTTGTGAGGTCTGTTGGAAACTAGGCAAGTGGGGTTTATATATCTGTGGAATGCTGCTGGAACATGGCCATACAGCCCAGAAAACGCACAGCAACCCAGTGATTCTGACCATGAAAGCCTTCGACAACACAAGATAGGATCTTTAGATTTGTTCTTAAATTGAATTTGTATGTAATTGGAACAGGTGTGTTTAAAAGTATAACTCCAACCAAACATCTATATTTTTGTACATGTAAGGTAGAGTCTCCTTCTCTGGAGATTTTAAAAGACAGCTGAATTTGTAAGTCAGAACAGGTACATTTTTAAGTGTAACTCCAGCTGTGTGTGTGCAAGCTTTGGGTATATAAGCTTTGGGTAACATCTCACTTTCTCTCCCTGTGATTTTTGGATTTTGAAAAAAAATGGCTTGTTGTGGAAACAAGGATAATAATAATATATATATTTTAAAAAACTTTATTTATATCCTGCACTATCTCCCCGAGGAGACTCAGGCAGTTTACAACAGATAACAGCAAACATTCAATGCGGTAAGAAGCCGGACAAAGACAAAAATAACCAACCTTCAAACCCAAAAACAAGTCCACATCTAAATAAAAAATAATAACACATTATCAAAAATTAAATTATAAACATAAAAATGTACGATTTCACAACCAAAACTAAGGGAGGCAAAACAGGAATCTAAACAAGATAAAGTTTTTAAAAATGGGTGATTGATGGTAAAGCTACATTGGAGGCAACTTTTCCCCATTCCAGGAGTGACTTTCCTTTCTGAGGGATAGATTTCTCCCACTACTTGTTGTCTCGCCCCGTTCTGAACTATGAGTCATATGTAAGTTGGATGTTTGTAACTCAAGGTCTGCCTGTATGAATATGTAAGTATTTCATTTACATCTCCCCTCCAAGGACCAACCAGAGCAGACCCTGCTTAGCCTCCAAGATCCGTCTACATCTGGCACCTTTAGGAAGGCAGTTGCTCGTATCAAAATTTGTGTGTGCTTTCAAATTGCCTATCAGCTTGTGTTAGGACTTTGCTCTTCTTTAGTCAGACCTCACCTGGTATAATGTTGCGTCTGGTTATGACCCACGAATTTCAACAAAGATATGAAAAAGTTAGAAATGGTCTAGAGAAGGGTGACTGAAAGTTCTGGAAACCATGATTTCTTTAAAGATCTGGGCCTGTTGAGCTTGGAGAAAAGAAAATTGAGAGGGGACAAGATAACCATGTTTCAGTATTTGAAAGAATGTCACATTGAGGAGGGGGCAAGCTTGTTTTCTGCTGCTCTGGGGACTAGGACATGGAACAATAGATTCAAATTGTAGGAAAATAATTTCCTCCTAAACATTACTAAGAACATCCTGAAAGAAAGGGCTGTTTGACAGAGGAATGTGCTGCTGCCTGGGAGTCTGGTGGAGTCTTCTCTAGAGGTTTTTAAAACAGGCTGGATAACCATCTGTTGGGAGTGCTTTGACTATGTGTTCCTGCATGGTTAGATTGGATGTCCCTTGCAGTCAGTCTCTTTATGACTTTAAGCTTAAGTCCCACCATGTTTCTTTGGGATACACTCATCCTAGGGAATCCGTATGAATCTTCCAAAGGTAGAGTATTGGTGGTGGGTCTGTAAGTGACTGTGGAAACCTATTCTTGTGCGCCAGTTGCGCCCGTACCTTGGGAAGTCTGATCTGGCCACAGTGGTCCACGCTCTTGTTACATCCCGAATAGATTACTGCAACGCACTCTATGTGGGGTTGCCTTTGAAGACTGTTTGGAGACTTCAATTAGTCCAGCAGGCGGCAGCCAGATTACTCACCGGAGCGTCATACAGGGAGCATACCACCCCTCTGTTATGTCAGCTCCACTGGCTGCCGATCCAGTTCCGAGCATAATTCAAAGTGCTGGTTTCGACCTACAAAACCCTATACGGTTCCGGCCCAGCGTATCTGTCCGAACGCATCTCCTTCTATGTCCTGCATCGGAGTTTAAGATCTTCTAGGGAGGCCC